AATGCAAGGAGCAACACGAGATGAAGTATGGTTTCTGGACTCTGGATGCAGTAATCACATGAGTGGAGATAGGAAATGGTTCACTGAACTTGATCAATCCTTCAGACACAATGTTAAGTTGGGAAATGACTCCAAATTGGTTGTCATGGGAAAAGGCAACATTCGAATGAAAATAGATGGACGAGTTGTGGTCATCACAGAGGTATTTTACATTCTTGATCTGAAATCAAACCTTCTTAGCATTGGCCAGCTTCAAGAAAAAAATCTATCTATACTAATTAAGAATGGCTACTGTAGCGTCTATCATGATATTAGAGGTTTGATCATACGAACTATGATATCTGCAAATCGTATGTTTGTGCTTTTGGCATCCATTCCCTCCATCTCTACTGATATATCAAAGGCAACCTGTTTTAATATAACCTCTGAAAATGTCACAAACTTATGGCATCAAAGGTTCGCCCATCTAAACATGAAAGGATTGCGAACTCTTGCTTATAGGAAAATGGTTCAAGGCCTACCAATATTGAAGAATCAATCCAAGGTGTGCACCATATGCTTGACTGGAAAGCAGCAACGTGATTGTTTTCCAAAGAAAAGCACTTGGAGAGCATCCAGACCTATACAACTCATTCACTCGGACATATGTAGTGCAATTACTCCTGAATTTCATAGTCACAAGAGGTATATCATTACTTTTATAGATGATTATAGCTGAAAAATGTGGTCATACTTTCTACATGCCAAGTCTGAAGCCTTTGATACATTCAAAAGGTTCAAGTCATTAGTTGAAAAGGCAACATGATACAACATAATTTGTTTTCGCACCGATAGGAGTGGAGAGTTCACTTCAGCAGAATTCAATGATTTCTGCAGCACTAATGGAATCGCAAGACAACTCACTGCTGTCTATTCACCACAACAAAACGGAGTTGCGGAAAGAAGAATATGATAAGATGTATGCTTGCAGCACGAGATGTTCCAAAGGAGTATTGGCCGAAAGCTGCAAACTTGGCCACTCATGTTCTGAATAGATGTCCAACTTCAGCCTTGCCAAACATAACACCTGAAGAAGCCTGGAAAGAAAGAAAACCATCAGTGGCACACCTCAAGGTGTTTGGATGCATAGGACATGTTCATATTCCTGATGTCACAAGGAAGAAGCTAAATGAGAAGAGCATCAAGTGTGTGTACATGGGAGTCAGTGAGGAGTCCAAGGCTTTCCGAATGTATGATCCAGAAACAAAGAAGATTGTCATTAGTAGAGATGTAGTTTTTGATGAAATGGAAAAGTGGGATTGGAAGAAGCCAGGAGAGACTAATTCTCTTGATCTTATGTGCAAAGAAAATGAAGAGAATAAGGAGAATGAAGATTCAGAAGCTGAAAATCAAACAGATAATGACAGGGAAGAAGAAGCTATAGGAGATGTGAGAAGCAATATCTTAGAAGAAAAAGAAGGCATCCAGTGTGGATGAGAGACTATGAGTCTGGAGCCGGACTGTCAGAAGAGGAAGAAGAAGTAGAACAGCTTACCGAGGAGATGCAACAATTTGCTATGTTTGTGTCAAATGATCCCACCACCTTTGAGGAAGCAGCCAAAAGTCAGGTATGAAGGAATGCAATGGAAGCTGAAATTGCAGCAATTGAGAATAATAGAACATGGGAACTAACTGATTTACCAACAGGAGCAAAGAAGATTGGTGTTAAGTGGATATTTAAAACCAAGATGAATGAAAAAGGAGAAATAGACAAATGTAAAGCTCGTCTTGTAGCGAAGGGATATGCTCAACAAGCTGGAATTGATTATACTGAAGTATTTGCACTTGGGGCAAGATGGGATACCATTCGACTAACTTTGTCCATTGCAGCTAGTCGAGGATGGAAAGTTTATCAACTTGATGTCAAGAGTGCATTCCTACATGGAGAGATAACAGAGGAAGTGTATGTGAAACAACTGAAGGGATATGAGGTGACAGGTAAAGAAGACAAAGTGTATAAACTAAAGAAAACTCTCTATGGGCTTAAACAAGCCCCTCGAGCATGGTTCAGCAAGATAGAATCATACTTTATCAAGGAAGGTTTTGAGCGGAGCATAAGTGATCACACTCTTTTTACAAAAAATGAAGATGAAGCAAATGTTCTTATTGTGAATTTGTATGTGGATGACCTTCTCTTTACAGGAAGCAGTGAGAAAATGTTTGAAGAATTTAAGAGCTCAATGAAAAGGGAATTTGAGATGACTGATATGGGATGCATGAGCTATTTTCTTGGTGTGGAAGTTACACAAACTTCAAATGGCATCTTTATTTGTCAAAATAAGTTTGCTAACGAAGTACTGGAAATGTTTGGTTTTCAAAATTGCTCTTCTATCAAAAACCCAATCATTACAGGGTGCAAGCTCACAAAGGATGCTAGAGGGTTGAAGGTTGATGCTACTGTATATAAGCAAATGGTTGGAAGCCTTATGTACTTAACTGCCACTAGGCCGGACCTGATGTATGTTGTAAGTTTGGTGGCTCGTTTCATGGAAGCTCCAACAACTATGCATCAACAAGCAGTGAAAAGGGTTCTGCGCTATTTAAGAGGAACAACTGAATTGGGGTTGTTTTACAAAAGAGAAGAAGGACAAAATTTGGTAGCTTTCTGTGATAGCGACTATGCCGGAGACCTTGAAGACCGAAAGAGCACCTCAGGGTATGTTTTTAAGATGTCAAATGGATTAGTTGCTTGGAGTTCTAAGAAGCAGCCTGTGGTGTCACTATCCACCACTGAGGCTGAATATATTGGATGATGCGTATACTGGATAGGATGAGGATTAAGCAAAGTAAGTGCATTATCTTCTGTGATAATAGTTCAACGATTAAACTTTCAAAGAACCGTGTTATGCATGGTAAGAGTAAGCATATTCACGTTCAATTTCATTTTCTTCGGGATTTGGCAAATCAAGGAGAAGTTGAATTAGTACACTGTGGTACTAAAGATCAGCTAGCTGACATCATGACCAAGGCTTTGAAACTAGAAGTATTCATGAAATTAAGAGAAAGACTTGGAATGTGCAGCATTGAAGGAATAAACTGACTGTGTTTTTTGAATAACACTTCAGTTTAAGGGAGGGTTTGTTGGAAAAGTGCACTTGCTTGTGGAACAATTCCTGACTCATTCAAGTTTAGTTTCAGTTTTTGAATAAGCCTATTCTCTAGGGATAGGATTCTTTGTTGATTTGTTCTTCCTTAAAAATAGCCATGATATAGTCATGGATCCTTCTTTTACTATTTCTCTGTTTGTGGTCTCTGTATTGGCTATATAAAGTCATTCACTCTATTGAATAAATCAAGCTTGAGAGCTACCATTAGTATTGATATCATCTCATTTTAACATAAACTAGCCATGAAGTGAGAGAGGAGGGAGTTAACCCACCCCTACTAATTTGATCCATTAATTGCCAAACATCATATTAGGCACTTCGATTCATATTAGTAACTTCCAAGAACATGAAATAGTCATTGTTAAATTAATCTAACAAATGGTACCAAGTTTCCTTAGTTACCATCATGGTGTAATGAATTGGATGGACTGGTTTCCCTTAGAGAAATACAATCAAACTGCCATTTCCTTATCACTGACAAAAAGATACAAAGATTATATCATATGCATGATATTAATACAGTATTCAATTTTACTCTATTAATGATTGGAAATCTTTTACTCATCAAATAAAAATCAATACATTTATCTTGTGTATCAAATCATCAGTACTGAGTGATATTCTTTAACTTTTCGTGGTGGAATGAAAGATTATTCTGATTAGGAATTGGGTTAATGGTACCAACTTTCCTCAATTCATGTGGGTGTCCTGAATTGGATGGATTGATTTCCCTGTATGAAAAATGTCAGCAGACTGTTCTTCCTTATCATTATGTTGTAATTTAACAGACTTGTATTCAGAACATTATTAATTATATTAGTACATGATGTCAGAAGTATAAACTTAACTAATTTGGAAAAATATAAAGGCGGAAAACAAATTTGCAGGCCAAGCAATTAGCATGACATGTTATAACAGAAAGAAAGGAATTGAGATGATAATTTATGCATGATACTGTTAAGAGTATTCAATTTTACTCCTTGTCATAAAATGTAGGTCTTGATGGCACAAACTAGAGCCAAGAGCAGAGGGTTTTCAGATGTGATATACCTGGATTCAGCCACCAAGAAAAATGTGGAGGAGGTCTCTTCTTGTAACATTTTTATTGGCAAGGTATTCTTCAACTCATTTTATCATTTTCCCTTTGATGGTAATTGTTAAAATGGTAGGAGCCATCCAAGAAGCTTTCTTGATTAACAAGAAAGATGAAAAAAGACATGCATGAGTGAGAAAGAAAGCTAAAGAAAGAATGGAGAATCAAGACTCCATTGAAATGAAGTGAGAATCAAGACTCCATTGTTTCTCATTATTGAATGCATTAATGAAACTGAATGAGATGAAGTGAGTGAATTACAAAGATCAGGGGTATGTCCCTTTATACACACATTTGACTAACTAACTCAAGTATCACCACTAACAAATTGAAAGCATTCCCCCTTTATACACATTTACCTTAACAGTAATCATAAATTGATATGTATTTATCAAGCTTGTTGCAATACACCAAATACGATGATCAAATGAGAAACAACAAGAGAAAAATGCACAATCTTGTGTTGGTAAGTTTACAAGAGAATAAAACATGGCAGGTATATACTAAGGGGAGCTATAATGTTCGGGAGCTATCTAATGCAATGCTAGAAAATTACACAAAACTACAAAAGAAAGACAAACAGAGAATCATGAACAACCTAAAATAGCAAGCAAAACATTGTAAACATTCTTCTTGAAAGCGTGCATTATGCAGGTACATAGGGGTTGGAAAAATGGAATGAATAAGGAGAGATATTATCTAATACTATACCTAATAGATCATATGAACTATTCAAAGATCAACAAAATTGCAGCCTAAGATTGCAAGCATAAGGTTGATCTCAGTTGATTTCAATTGTTACTTTCCCTCTGTAAAAAGCAATTGCCTATTTGCCTATATATGATTGCAACCGGTCAATCATATTTGTATTCCAATTTCCTAGGACAAATACATCTCAACACCTGCTACCAATGGAACAATTCTTCCTGGAATTACAAGAAAAAGTGTCATCGAAATTGCTCGTGATCAAGGCTATCAGGTATTACTTTATATTTGAAGCTCCTGAGTGATAATATGACGTTAAGTTACTTCTGGCTCTGCATATTGTGCTACCTAGTCTTCAGATTTTGTTGCATTTTTATTTTAAAGTAAATCTTAAGAGAGATTGCCCTTTGGTATAATTTGTTATATAATTTTTAGTAGTTAAGACTTACTACTTTTCTGTGCTAAGTTAGAGTTTTCTCTATCACCTTTCTGTTTGAATTATTCTAATTAATTGTACAAATTGATTCAGGTAGAAAAGCGCATATGAAGTTTTCTGCACAGGTACTGCCGTTGGTGTTGCCCCTGTAGGGAGTATCACATACCAAGATAGAAAGTAAAATGATAATGCTGCTATATAGTAACTAGTATGTATATGATCATATAAAAGTCCACTGTTCACACAAATAAAACAGTTTATACTTTTTTCTCTGATTATCATATATATTTTATAGAGTAATGATAGTTTTACACTAATTTTACCGAACAACTATCCTCTGTCACAGAATTTTCTATACTTGTGTCCATAACCAATCAAATTTCATAAAATAATATAAACATAGGCATATTTTAGAGTACTCTCTCTAGAGATATTATAGAAAAATTGCTGAAACATTATGTTATATAAATGCAGGGTGGAATATATAACAGGCTATAGAACCATTTGTGAAGAGCTGAACACTACCCTTTTAGGTATTCAAAGGGGTGTTATTGAAGATAAGTATGGATGGATGATCGAAATTGACTGAATATTGTTTATGCTTTGATATAAGAAAATGTGGCCGAATTGCAACCACATATTAATGATGAAGAAGTGTTTTATAAAGTTTGAAAAAATATTGATAGTGGATCGGTAAGCATTTTATTTTTTATTTTTACATGTAAAGATAACAATATTTTATGTAGTGGATATGTTATCCATACCAAAAAGCATTTTATTTTTATTTGTACAAGTAAGAAATAGTGTTCTTAATGATTTTGTGGGTCTCATTACTGGTGTGTAGGCTTTCTTTTTGCTCTAGGATCTAAGCCCCTATTTGAAGGGGGCAAAATATTGTTCCGTTATTCCTCAAATCATGATTATTAACTATATTCTTTAAAATAGCAAGCATATGATACTCTCAAATGGCAATGAAAAAAATACCGAGTCTAATGAATTTAAGGCAATGAATTGCTTTTGAAATAAATTATTATGGACAAATTTGAAATATAAGAATTATAGCAGTTTAATTATCAGTATCTGTATGTCACTTTTTAAATCATAAAAAACTATATAGTAATTTAGAACTGTAATGATTGATATTTGCCTTGGCAAAATGGGTAATGGGTAAATTTTACACTATTTATAGAAATACAGATATATTGTATTATCACATCATAAACAAATTTTAAATCATTGTCAGGATATCTAAGAGGTATACAAGTAATACTACTTTTTAATTTTTAAGATATTTTATTTCTTTCAACGAAAAGGCCGTACAAGATCCACACTCCAAAATAATCTCAGTGAACAGAACTTCATTTAAAAAATTAAGAGCTTTTTTTTTCCGGACTATTAATCATTAATGTCATATAGTTGTTGGAAAGGTACCCCACATTATTTAACTCAGACACCTACCTAGCAGTGTATGAGTGTAGTGTTTATCAACATAGTCTTAGACATCGACTAAAACAATAAAAAAATGTCAATAAGTGTATTGAAAATTAACTTTATACACTATTGAGTCTTAAAATATATTACTTTTTCAACACAAAAGTTATCTTATACAATGGCAACACATCGACTGAAAATATCCCCATAAAAATATACAATGTTTGCCTAGCCCTAAAGAAAATATATATGAAAATTGTGACTTAATATATATAAAATGGTTTTCATATATATGAAGCTATAGACTCCAGTGCATGTTTGTATTTGCAGAGATCCATCACCTGAGATTGATGAGAAGGACATGACCAAATTGAAATGAAGAGTTTTTGAAAAAAGTGCCATAGTATTAGAGGCCTCCCTGGAAGAAACATGGCTCATCAACAGGAGACATTATTCAATATTCTCTTTCATTTATACCACAAAACATTCACAAGGTCACTCTTGGTCCCCCTATATACGGTCATATTATTGAAGAATATGACATTTAAATTTGGAGTTTCAATCAAGTTGTAAAATAAGATAAAGTCTTCAGTATTTTTCCGGGACCATATATTTGTTACAATTCATGCACAATATTTTTGTAGGGGACCCTTCTACATTAGAATTAAATCTAAGTGTATATAATATCACTACATCAATTTGTGTGCAGAGTCGGGAATGTTATTTTCTTTAGTCTCGTTAATACACCCAAAAGACGTTTTTCAAAATATAAACAAATAAAAATGTAAAATACTAATTAACAGTTCCCTATTATATTATTTTGATATTGCTATCTCGAATGAAATAAAACATGTTAATTAACTAGCTCTTCATCTTTATTTTCTTGGTGCCTTTATATTCTTTAATTTCATATTCTACTACCGTCAAGTCCTTTCAATGTCTTCAATGCAACAATATACATATATATGTAACCCTGAAAATTATTCACTGAGTTTTCAACTTCTGAAAAACTAGCTAGCACTATAATCCAGCTCATGCGCAAGTGCTTTTCCAAAGTTGTCCTTTATAAACTTTTTGTTTGTGTTTGTTTGTTAAAGCTGTCCACAATAATAAGATTTGTAATCATATTTGTTGACTAATCCTTAAGGATGGAAATTTAAAACAATAAAATTGAAGTGGATGTTACTTTTCTTTCCTGTTAAGAGAGAGAGAGGTACATCTTTTACTTTCCCATCTTTTCTTGCTAGCTTTTTGACCATCGATCATTTTCTAGTTTAACCTTTTGTTTTTTCATGCAATCTGCTTCTTGTTGTCTTTCTCTTTTAAACATGCCCTCTTTTTCCTTTGTACAAATGAAGGTTTCTTTTTTCTATTCCACATTATTTACTTTGGATTTAAATAGGAAAAGGGAAATTGTCACTTCCAGCGTTTTCATGAATGATTAAAATATCACTTCAAAAACTGAACGATTAAAGAATATGAAACTAAAGAATATAAAAATGTAGCTGATGAATTAGTTTGTAGGAATATAGCTCCTAAAAAGGAAATAGTACAAGTATATACTCTTCTTCTTTGTTTTGGCAAAAAAATATTATTGGTAGTAGACCATAAATGAACTTGAAATATCATTGCCAACAGAGATTCAAAGAAAAGAGAATGCAATGCACCAAAAAAAGTTAAAAAGAAAGGATAATACAAACCTGGCAAAAATAAAATCAAGCTAGTGAATCTTTATTGGAAGTAATTTATTTAATATTTGATAAGAAAGTTGCATGTAATGAATTAGTAGAACCAATGTTTTAAGGAAACTGTAGCAAAAAATGTAGCTTGATTCCCTATGCCTATCCCATGATATAAGTATAGAAATATCGCTATAACATGTCATTTTCTTCTCTTGTTAAGACAATATGTATGAAATAATTTGGATTATTAACACATAATTATAGAAAAAGCTATTCCCAACTTCAGTAGTTTGTAACAAATTCCAGCTTTCCCGGCATTGATTCCTCTTTGTCGTTATATATTATGGTCAGGAATCAAGAATAATGCAAATATATGTAATCGAACACAAATACGTTGCACACGAGGGAAATTAAAGTTGTGTTATGAATGTTAAAGCATTCACACCAAGACATTGAATACCTTTTACAATTTCCCAATATCTCTTTTCATTGCGGAAATTGGAATTATAAGTTACAATTTTTAAGCATGTAAGGGATTTTCTTTTTGTTTAAAAGAAGTGGAGTGTCCCTTTATAATCATGACTATTTAGCCAACCAGAAACTTTCATGCAAGAATCTCATCAATCATACCTTTTCTTTTTGAACAAAGAATGGAATGGAATGGAATATTTAGATGCCTTTAAAGAAAGCTTAGATAAGAAAGGTTTATGCAATGATAGTGTTATGCAAAATTGAGGAACACATAAGCAACAATACGAGATAGTGTGGCCAATGGGGGAGGCCTCTTTGCATTATTGAGAAACACTTAGCAGATTTTTGTACTTAGCAAATTCAATAATTTAAGGGCCACTACTATAATGCCAAACATCAATTCACAGAATTTAATCATTAGTCCACTTAATCAATTCGTTCTTCCCCTCAAATATGCATGCATTATCTCCAATTCCATCATATTATAGCCAAAAGGCTAAACTTGTAAAGGCCAAGTTACAGTTGGTACATAAAAGATAAGTGGCCCCCAACTGGCCTTTCATTAATCCCTCAAATTCTACCACTGAAGTCTTAAGAGAAATAGATACTCCAAAATGTTACTTCAAAACTCCCTTTTTCCCTCATTAACAATTACTTACTACCCTCTTTTTTAATCCTTTTACATGCAGAACTTAACATAATATGGCAAATGAAAGAGAGAGTAATATATCCCTCTAGGTATCATTCCATGCAGCAAAAACTGGCAAGTGAGAGAGAGGTATAGCAGCAGCTGGCCTCATTTGAGAGGTAAACCAAGAACTAACACCACCACTACCAATCTTTGTTTCCATTTGAGGCTTCGGAAATAGAAGTGAGGGACCCGTTTTATCAGGGCTGGCCTCTCTTGAGCTGCTTAAACTTGTGACCATAGAGGAGGGGTTTGAAAAATGAGTTCCTATCTTGTTTGAGTTACCCTGCATGGGTTGGCCAGAACCTACTGAATCAATTGCAATGAGATCTTGTAGGTCCATTGAGAAAGATGAGTTTCTATAATTTCCACAGTTCATTTTTTGTTCACAGCTATTATTTGACTGCTGTTGCTGCTGCTGAAACAAATCCATCTTCCAGTGTGAACCATTTTCATTGTTGTTTCTAGCTTGAACTGCTTCCACATTAGTTGGGTTTGGTACACCATTGTTATTATTATACTCAATGGCCTCAGATCTTGGATGATTATCTTTGTTTCTCCTTGCTAGCTCACCAGCAAGAAGAGTGTTACTGGCCATGATCCTTTCTACATCATATCTCGATATATCAAAGTTTGTGACTGCATTTACCCCTCGGAATTTGATTGCAGCTACATCATATGCTTCAGCTGCTTCCTCTTGAGTGCCTAAATTTAATACAAGGACCAAAATTGCAAACATTAATTTCTTTTGTAACAAAAAGTGTTAAGTAAAATTTGAACTTACCTTAAACCATTTTGTGAAGACACCCTTTATCTCTATAAAAT